GTGCAATGCAACCGCTTCACCCCCCCCCCCCCCCCCGTCCGTACTCTCTCTCTCTAGAAATAGAGATAGGGCCCCCCGTGGCTCACTTGCCAAATGGCCTCTTCACGTGCGTGACCCGCGAGGGCCTCTCCATTGCCATGTCCGCCACGTGTGAATCGTGGGAGTGGAATGGTCCCATCAAGCATGCGAGCAGATCGTGACGCGTGGCGCCGACCCAGGGGGGCCGATCGTAGATACGGCAGATCTTGGTGGGGACTCGGGCTCACGTGGGTGCAGACGCCTGGGCATAACCGAGCGACCTTTTTAGTGGTCAACCAACTGGCCCCATCTCTCACTAATTCTACACTCTTTTCTCTTTCTCTCTCTAAGTTTCATACCAGGAAACGTCACACGGTTAATGCTAGCGATATACTGAAGGAACCTAATTCTTTTGGTCTATAATTCTGGCCTCTGTTCCCACGTTTTCTTTAAAAGAGAGAAAGAGGGAATAATGAATTAGTCTGCCAAATTTAGCCTTCACATAGGCTGAAAGGGGGGATTACTTGACTGAGGTTGAGCTTAGAGAGAGCGTTAGGCTCAACCGTGTTTACCAAATATGTACGTGTATGAGAGAGAAGGGCTGGCCCCACTTAAACCGAGAGAAAAAAGAGGCTACCTTTTTTTTTTTTTAGAAGGGGGCGGTTTGTATTAAGCTGGGACTCTAAACAATCAAAGTAAAGCGCATTTTTAAATAGTATCGTAAAATATGGTTTCAATTTTAGAAATCTTTGTGATATCTTTAAAATATATTTTTATTTTTAATTATAAAATTTAAAGCTTAAAAATAGTGTTGATCGATCATATCTATGAAAACTAACAAATATTAATGTTTTTTAATTTTTTTTGATAATTCAGTGGGGAAAACAGGTCCTACTCATTTTTTTAAGTAAATTAAGAGTTAGATTTTTTAAGATGTTAAGGAGGTGGCGTTAATTAAAACCACAATGTAGGTATGAGGATGCTACCACCATGCCTAAAAATACATTACAAGATGCATTATTTTCAAAACTCGAAATTCATTTTTTTCTCATGTAATGCATTTGTCGAAATGATCAATTTGAGAATCAAAACAACCTAAATTTTGACCGTGCGCTCTAATTTGATTGTTTAAATCCGGACTCTGTAAACGTTTTCTTTTTATAAATTGAGAGAGCGTGGTAGGCAAAAACCGATTTGCCAAATACGTGTGTCACGCTTTGCAAACATGTACGTATGTTAGAGAGGGGTTATCCGTGCACCCAAAGAGAGGGGCCGATCTTAAATCTTTTACCAAAAGATTTCACATTCCCGTGAGACTATACTGTCCAAGAGGGGTTAGTAGGTAATTTTAGAGGAGAGCGAGAGGGCTATCTGTGAGAGACAGAGACAGAGAGAGCAGGGGGCTCGGGAAACGAAAAGAAAAGGAGAAGAAATGGAGTGGGGTACTCCCTTTTAAGGGTGGGACTTTTAATTGGAGTATCTCTGCCCTAAATCTTCGTATCTCCATCGAAGATGCAAACGGACGGCTTTTATACGTTGCATGAAAAGCTGGGGTCCTAAAACGACTACCATGTGCATCCTTTTGCTTTCTGCCACCACCCCCCATTTCCATTTATTATTAAGAAAAAGTAAACAAGCAATGTGAAAGGAGGAGTGCCCTAACTTTATATTCAATAAAGGCAAGTACTTGCCCCTCTCCCTCTCTAACATAGGACCTCTCTCTCTCACCCACTTTCAGTCGTAGGACCTCTCTCTGTTTTTTTTTGTTAACATTGTGGGACCTCTTCCTCTCTCTCTTCGAGCTTATCCTCGTGCATGTTTGGTTTCTTGCATGCCAGACACCTAATTGTGCGCCAAACCTAACTCTGAATTTGTCCTCACATTAGATAGCCAACCCAACATAAGGTGCTGTTGTTGTCCTCTTAGAATGTACATGATTTGCTACTCTCCTCCTCCTTTATTGCTTGCTTGTTATCCCTTTTGTTTCTAATTCCTTTTTTTAATACTGAACTTCCTTTTTGTATTCTATTTCACTTCAACTGGCTTCGTCGCCGCCCTACCCATGTTCTCCTCTTATCGGAACTGACCCCAATTGTGTACCTTTCTCTTTGGTTCACAATATTATAAGATGACCGAGATGCGTTTTTTCTTTTTCCTTGTTTTTACTTTTTTCCATACTTTTCTCTTTAAGGGAGAAGTTTATTGGGAAATGATTTCATATTTGTATGTCTCTGTGTCATTGTAATATAATGCGGGCAAGCTTTCTATGCTTCCCCTACAACATAGAAATAAAATTCTTTCTATGCAGACAAGCTTTCTATGCGGGAGAATAGAAACTTCTATGCTGTCGGGGAAGCATAGAAACCTTTCCCATATAATGCAACCACATTTCTAAAAAACTATGTTTGTGACATTTGTATGACCCAAATGTTGTTCGCACACGCTCAACATCTTAATAATTAAATTTTTTAAAATTAAAATTCAATGTTCACTTTTGATAGGGTCAAAATGAGCCCCCTCTAACAATGACTCTAGACTATTCCTTTAGTGAATTTGATAATCTTTACGAGTTCAAAACTAATTTTTCGTTTTTAACCTTGTTAATCTAAGGCTATTTGAAAAAATCGGGTACAGAAAAAAAATATTTCCTAGGCTTAGATCTAATCATCTCAGCAAAATAGACAGGCTACTTAATTAGGTTAAAAAATACTCTTTGGGGTGTGTTTTCAAGTTTTTCATTTTTATGGTTGTTAGTTAGAATGAAATAAGTACATATCTAAAATTGGGGTTAAACAAATGACTTTAACATGGAGAAATCACTCTCCAAGTTTATATAATGCAACAACTTTGTACTACTTGAGCGAGCAAGGCTCAATAAAAAAAAATACACTGAACCAAATAACGTTGTTTTAACACTAAAAAACCCTCAATTGACAACGAGATGTATTTAGAAAAAAGATTACAAGTCCTAAAAATAACGTATGGTGTGACCCATTATCTAGACTATCGATTTTCAAGATTTCAAAGTGCTTATTGCTCCACTCAATATTTACTTATTTTAAACTTTAAATTTTATAATTAGGGAATAAATCGGTTTTTGGAATATAGTAGGTGATTTTCTCTCTTTTGGCAGGTTCTGGAGTTACCGCCTTACTTGTGACTCTTGAACGTTGATGCGTGGTATAAGTCTGACCTTTTCTCCAGTGTGTTCCGTTTCTCAATTGCTCACTTGACTGCCTTTAGTGGCCAATAAGCATGGTAAATCGTGATTTGTTGGTCGTCAACTAAAATGGGTTCATTGTTTAATTGACTTTTGATTATTTGGAAATATTCTTTTCCAAGTTTTAGGATGGTCATATTAGTACAATGACAGCTTGATTCTCAAAGGGGTAAAGTATCACAAAATGAAATCGTCCTTTAAGACAACAAATCTGCGAACTTTGAAAAATTTTAATACTTTGAAAACAAACGAAGATTCGCTGAAAGCAAAATGAATCGGGGTTGACAGTTCATGGGTCATGCATTTGCCAACCTACCTTACCCCTATATATGACTCGTCGTCGTCACCATCCTAGCCTTTTCGTAACTGGTCGATTGGGGATCATTTATTTTTGCAGTGCCCTTTTACTTACCAGCTATGGATGTGGCCCTTGAACATGATGGGCCGCTGGTTATTCTTACCTCTTAGGCATACGGATAATGTTCACAAGTTAAATTCACCATGTTTTCCTGAGAAAGGTGTCGTTATTTGGAGATGTTTCGTAAGGCTTTGCTTTGGGAGGTGTGGTTGGAGAGAAATAGATGTACTCTTGATAGGATTTTTTTAGACTTCTCAAAAATTAAAGATAGTATTTTTCACAATGTGTAGTTATGATATTCCAATACGAAAGAATGTGATGGGGTATCCAAGGTGGGTGTCGTTCTAAATATGTGAAATTTGACTACTTAGTTGTCCTTGAAGGCAAAGGGCAAGAGGTAGATGGATACCTCTCTTGAATGGGTACGTAAAACTGACTTTTGATGGTAGCTCCTTTGGGAATCTAGGGCCTCCAATGGTCAGAGGTGTAGTTGTTAATTCAAGAGGAAATGTGTTGTTTTCTGATTCAGGGCCGCATGGTGTTGCTACAGCTAATAATGTTAGATTGCTGTTAGTGCTACAAGGACTAAAATTATTGAGAGAGAGATGTGTTGAGTTTTGTTGGACGGTCGAAGGGGATTCTTTAAAAAAAGAATTGTTTCATGCAGGCTT